CCATATACTAAGACTTGTAAAAATGACATTATAAATGTTCTTTTAATCATTATGGTACACAACATGTACATGTATGAAGTACTTTTGGCTGTAATAATTTTTATACAATTCCCAGTCTCAGCAATGTCCCGTGTTATTGACTTTATAGGTATCAGCTGAGCACCTGTTGTGTGCCTCTGTGATGAATGCCCCCTGTGCCCTGGCAGTGTCCAAACTCTTGTACCCTGAGACCGAGTCCAGCAAACTCAGCAAGGCCTCGGACCTTGACAAGGAGGAAAAGTATGGGCAATGTTAGAAAACTTTATAATTGGAAGATCAGTTTCAATATGTAAAATTCTCTCCTTGTTTTCTTCACAAGGAAAGATAACTTTTGGCATTTTGAAAAGGAAGTGTATCCATGCAGATTTTAAACAAAAAAGTAAAATTCCATGACTAGGGGAAAGTGTTGATATTTCGGACACTTCAGAATGCTTTTTCGGATATACTTGGCATTTACCGATTAATATAGGTATGCTATACACCGTTCGATGCAGAAAACCTTCCGCTTCTTATTTTCGTTGTACATCGGCTCTTTTCTTGAGATAATATCATTAGTAAACGCATTTAAACAGTATCAGGTAGGAGGTTGTAACTTCGGACAGTGGTGTTGTAACTTCGGACACACGGTGTTACAATGTCGGACAGTGGGTAAAAAAGGTATTGCTGGCTGCTGTGTCGCACAGATTACACGATGGTCGTGCTAATTACAGCAGGGAACTTTGACTAGCTTTTGTCGGGATATGTATGCAATAAAATATAAAATCTTTTCAGTAGAAAAAAAATTGTATTTGCCGCAAAAATTATAAGTAGCGTGAACAATATGTAGGATAAATATGTGTAGCAAACACACATATGATATCCAGATATATAATAAAATTATTTCATTTATTACTTTCTTCACATTTGTTTCTTGGGTTTTTCTTCTAATTTTTTTCTTTCAATGTTATTTTTTATTTAACCAAAGTAAATTTATTTAAAAAAACGATATGAACACTGATTTTTTTTAACCATCAAAGTACTAGACTAAGTATATCGTAGTCTGGTAAAAAAAATTCTAAGGTTTTAAATGAAAAAAAAGACATTTAAGAGAAGGATATAAATCATGCTTCAGATGCTCAATATGTATATATTTTCTCAGTGTCAGATATTGCTTGACATCGGGGAATAAAAAATGAAAATGAGGAATTCGAAAAGAAAAACCCACCTGAATATCTTTTGCCAGGTAGACTAGCCCTAACAAATACATATGTATATAACATCTACAGAACCTTGTGGTCAGGTAAATTTATACATGTATAACCATGGGACAAAGTACGTTTTCAATTTATATTTAAATCCAAATGTTTTTGTTTTTTTTTAAATTTGATTAATTTGGGGATGGCATTTTTATTTTTGTGGAACTGTAATACATAAAAAAATGTTTAGTGTCTGAGAAACCCATTTCAAATGAACATCTTAATTACATGTACATTACGTTGCATGTTTGTTTATTTTTTTAAAACAATAAATTGAATGGCATAATTAAAGGGGATACGTAAATTTCATTTATTTATTTTTTCGTTTAAATTAAATGATGTGAACTTTGTAAGTAGAAGGCTTTAAAAATATTAAGCACTGAACACCTGTACAGGTATGTTACACTGGCAGATCTAGAGTCAATCCCCCCTCTCTCTCTCCCTCTCTTTATCACCCCCCCCCCCCCCTTAAAAAAAAATGGGGAAAAAAATAACACAATCATTTTAAAAGTTCATTTACATGTTTTAAATTAAAAAAAAAAAAAACGAGCTATGGTCAGTAATGCAAGTTTATCGGAATATATAAAAGGTCTAAAGCCAGTAATGGGTCAAATTTTAGTCACGTTTTCTGTGTCTCATAGAGGTGTTGTAATTCCGGACACCTCAATTTCGGTTAATTATTTGCATTTACAAGATAATTCTTTATGAAATATTGAAGAAAATAATAATTTCAATGGAATTTATTCACATTTATAATTTGTATAAATAAATTTTAGCAGAAAAACCAATTATCTTAACCGTGCGCCATTTTGCCTGTCAAACTGAAAGTAGACGGATATTAGCGTCATCCACAGCACAGTCGGTGAAGGTCATTTATTTATGGCAACAAGTCGCACCTGAGTTGAAACACGCAAAGATTTTTGTTGTAATACATTTTGTAAATGTATTATCTACAGAAGTAAGTTTTGATATCATAATAAATAACAAAAGAGAAAAAGTTATAAAGCTCTTTATTGACTGTCCGAAATAACACCCCCGTCCGAAATAGCAACACTTTCCCCTAGTTTTAAATTTCAGAATAGAAATAGGGTAAAAAAATGTGTCAAGTTTAAAATTAATAGCACCTAAAAATTCTTTAGTCACTGTGATTTAATGGCACTTTTAGTAATTTATAGTACTCTTAGTAGTTTAATAATTAAGAATGCTTTAAATTACTTATGTTACTTTCAGTCATCTATGGTACTTTTAGTAATTTGGGGTACTTTAAGTAATTTTATGTACTTTCAGTAATTTGAAGTACTTTCGGTAATTTGAGGTAATTTTGGTAATTTGAGGTACTTTAAGTATTTAAAATTTATATTTTCATAGGACAGAGAGGAACATCTTGGAGGCAGCAGCTGCTGGTGCCTCGTCTTCCATTAAACTGGTGGCCAACATTGCCGCTAACCTGATCGCATTCCTGGCTATGCTGGAGTTTGTGAATGCCGTTCTCTCTTGGTTTGGTGGCTTTGTAGGCTATCCCGAGTTCTCATTCCAGGTAGGTCCAGGTATAGATACAGTAGCGCTGGGACCTGTGAAACTACTTTACTATAATATCTGTCATTCTTAATATCTGTATAAGGAATTCATTAATTTGTATAACTGAGTATCCAAATAACTTTGCTGAACAGTGCTCCAAGTTGCGACTAAAACGGTCACATTTGCGACCAAAAAATTGGTTTTGCGACTAGAAATTAAAATAAGTCGCATTTTCGTGACTGAGAAAATTTGGGCTGGCAACGTCCATCTTTTTATGATCGGTATCGAGATTTACATTTTCAAGATTCTCTATCAAGACAATGTTTGAAGATATACACTTTAACACACTTTACAAAGCGTCGTATGGAATTGGATCACGTAATTTTATGACAGCGTGCTATAATAGTTAAGTTTGATAGAACCAGAAACGTATATACATATCGTCTCTGAGAGAATGGCATCCAAATGTCATAAACTTTCTAGAGTTTCTCTGACCTCGTTATTAAAGTATTTGGTCAATGGCTTGCATATCACAATTAATTAAGTGTTTTGGCGGCATTGATAATGACTGCGTTATGGGTAAGACACTTAGTAGTAAGTAAACAGGTAAACATGATAAACAATATTGGCAAAGTCCTGTCTCAACAACTGTCAAAGTTTTATTTTCTTTTGATTAAACTTTAATTCTAGGATCTGATTACGTGTGTTCTTCTGTGTACCATACAAAGGGTGGTTGTATTTAATAAAAATATATCCTTCAACTAGCAAAAGATTCTAGTCACAGTAATCAATAATCTTTGATTTAATATAAACATAACACATGTGGATGTTAGTTCATTGTTTTAATTGCGTTATTCACGTTTTCATCATGGCGAGTGAAAAATTTGTTAATGGCGACCAAAAAAAGTTTTAGGTCGCCATTTAGCAACCTAAAAGTAAGTGCGACTTGGAGCACTGCAGTGAATCCATTAATTCACAATATCCGTGTTCATACTTAACAAGTTTTACTATATAGACACAGGATTTGATAAAATTCCCTATTGAATTGGTGGAATTGAAGAACATTGACTTAGATAAATCAATACTTGATCTGAAAATTTTTTTTAAAGAATTTTAAACAATATAAATGTTCATTAACATTTATAGGCAAGTCTTTTTTTTTTTAAATCATTTTCTTTAATGAATTATAAAAAAAGTTTTGCAGGTTGAATTTTGCATTAAATTATTTAAAAAATGAGTATGTTAAAACAGTCAAAAAATGAATATAATAAAAAAGTTGGAATTCTATAAAGTTTTACCATATTATAATGTTATGTGAATGCTTCCCAGATGATCTGCTCTTACGTGTTGATGCCATTGGCGTACTTGATGGGCGTAGAATGGAAAGACTGTGGCATTGTGGGAGAGCTAATCGGAATCAAGACTTTCCTTAACGAATTCCTTGCATATGGAGAATTATCAACATATCTTACGAACAGAAAACAGTGCATTGGCCATATTTTGGCAGTGAGTATATTAACTTTAATCTTTTACACTGTATTTTTAATTTTTTCCTAAGTTTGCAATATGAGAAGATATAAAAAATTTCTTATACTTGAAATTTTCCTCACAATCAGAATAACCCACAATTTCATTTCTATTTCTTTTAAAAACAGGCACCTAATGCTCTGTACACAGGCACTTGATGTTTATAGATATTTTTCTTATCACCTCCTCTGAGTTTTTATAAATTATTAATAATTGCAATAATTACAATGCATTTTTTAAAATTTGCTATTTTCAGGTACGATCAGAGATCATAGCCACCTATGCCTTGTGTGGATTCGCCAATCTGAGCTCTATAGGGATCCAGCTAGGGGCTCTGAGTCCCATGGCGCCCAGCAGGAAGGGGGACCTGGCTCACATTGTACTGCGAGCTCTGTTAGGAGGGATAGTCACAAGTCTCATGACAGCTTGTATAGCAGGTATTGCCAACTCTGAAATACTGTAAACCAACTTTTATTTGCAACAACTTTATTTCACAATTTACTGGGGGTAATCTAGTTTGCGATGATTAATTTTCGCGATCGAGGCTTTTTTGATCTTTTGTTAATAGAAAGAGAGACTTTAAGGACCGGTTCATGGCGAGAAATATTCATGATGACGAGGCTCTAGCGAACTATGCTAAATTTTCTCACACACAAATAAAAGTTGGTTCACAGCAATGTTTAACTATACTCTCCCAAATCAGAATGAAAAAAAGTTGGTCAGTGGGTAGGTAGGAAAATTCTCCTCCCAAGAAAAAATCATCATTAAAGCTGAATTTTCAGAACCAGTGCAACTTAGTTTGGGATGTGTAATTCATAAAATTCCACAACATCGTAGCAATTGATTATTAAGAAAATGAAAAAAAAATGAATAAAAGATAGCGAAAATGTTTTAGTTTTAAGGACGCTATTGCACGGCGTCACGTGATCACGTCATTTGGTGAATAAAAAAGAATATTTGCTGCAACTATTTCCGGAATAAGGAGCGTCATATGTTTGCGCTCATGACAAATGGGGTTCAAAGTAGAGAAAGTATAAAATATTAAAGATTGTTACGATGCACTGAGAGTGTTGGTGAGCGTTGATCATATTTTTTATCTACGTGCATGTTTTACGATTTGACACGTCTATCTATTGTATATCTATTAACATTGAAATCTATTTCATTAAAAATAAATTTGATTTATTTCTTGGGGTTTGTATCCTCATTTTAAAATTAGAATTTTATTTAAGATTGTTGTGTATCATAGGATCTTACGATGGCGTATTAGTGCCATTTTAACAATGTAGAATTTTTTTTTAAAATCGTTTGTACGATTTAGTAAATCGTTTGTACAATTTAGTAAATCGTTTGTACGATTTAATAAATCGTTTGTACGATTTAGTAAATCGTTTGTACGATTTAATAAATCGTTTGTACAATTTAGTAAATCGTTTGTACAATTTAATAAATCGTACAAACGATTTATTAAATCGTACAAACGATTTAAAAAAAAATTCTACATTGTTAAAATGGCACTAATACGCCGTCGTAGGATCTACATCTGTGTATAGATAATTTCCAATAAGAGAATCAGACGGCGTGATTTACTAGATACATGTATAAATATTGATGAACGAAGGCGATTTTGATAAACGTGTTACGGCGAAGACTACTTATGCCTAGAAGACATATCTTTAAAAAAATATCGCAGAGACTTTTTTTTTCTCCTATAAAATCTTTAGCATTTTCAGCAGTGACATTGACCGTGTAAACATTGAATGATCGTCGCACATATATTGTAAACGATTGTTGTAAAATGTTTTATGCGCCGTATTGAAACACACTTCATCTGAAAGAATACCAGGGAAAATATGTACATAAATAAATAAAAGAAACATGTGAACTCATCATGCTTATGGGAATACATTTGAAAAATGTTTTATTTTTAATCACATGAACATGAATATAGATGTTTCACTCCAGCATATATCATAAAGCGACAGAAAGTTCTTTCAATCAATGATTATTTTTTTAATCAAAACAGTATATCTATAGTTTTGACGTCAATTGTGACATTATGACGTCACAATGGAGACAGCGCTCATCCATGTAGAGAAAAAGAAAATTTTTAATGTACTTACTTGAAAAGAATCGGAAGGAAAAATATGTGTAAATGTGAATATTTAGAATAATTATTACTATAATTTGGCCAATAAGATTATTTATGGATGAATACATTTATTTAAAAAAAAATGTAATGCAGTTACAAGTTTTATAAAACTACCTCTTTTCATTCAATGTGTTCAAATGTCTGAACACCCCACCCCCCACCCCCTATTCCAGGTCACTAAGAAGAAACATCGCTGAGTGTTCAAAGTATGAAGAATAAGGCCTTTGAGGACTGTGCACTGGTTTATAATATATTATTTATTTATACTGATATAATGACAAAATGAATGTTTTGGAGATGAAAAACTGAGTTTGAAAAAAGAGTTATTACTTTCGTGACCACTGTCGGTGATAATTAAATCATTGTGCTTCACATATAAAATGAGCACCAGCCCAGATTTTCAGAGGAAAAAGAATTTATTTATCTATACATATGGCCTTTATTGTCTTTAAACAGATTATGCATATTTAAGGTCCAACAACAAACCATCATATGAAAATCTGTGAAATCTTTTAATATTCTAGGAGGGGGGGGGGGTACTGAAATGCGGGTAGCTTCAAAATTAATCTGATTACCTTACTTCATATTTTAACCATAAGTCACTTATAATGACTATTACAGCATATATTAGTTTTGGGAAAATTCATTGGGTAATTTTTTGTCTAGACATTAAAAACTGCTATTGAGTTGAAAATATTACTGCAAATTTACAATTAATACTTCCCCCCAAAACAATGGCATTGCTACATTTATCAATAGTTTCCGAAACAATTTTTATTTTCAATAAATATAAAGCATATTATTAAATATCTGCAGGGAAATATTAAATTTGCTTCAATTTTGTTGCGTGTATGGCAATATAAAACATTCACCTCATATAAAATATCAAAAGATTAAAAAATGGTGGTTACCATGGCAACCATAACTTCCTTATAGCGAGCGCAGCGAGCGTCGCGAAGCGACGCTCGCGAAGCGAGCTCAATAGACTAACGTGTATGAACAGAGGAAATTCGGATTGAAATCTGTACATACGTCAGCCAAATTTCTCTGTGCAACATTCCCAGAATTCCTGCACTACCCAATGTCCTTTGCGCGAATAAATCAAAAATAGTAAAAAAAATTAAAGGAACATTGTTTCTTACCGAAATTGTAACGAAATGATTTTGCCTTACCTTATTCAAAAAAATACCCCTATGCCACAACACCGGCCTTCACCTTGCCCTTCGGAAATGATACAAATGACGTCACCGGAATCTTACGAATTTTGACGAAGTTATGTCGGTTGCTTCCGTGAAACTCGGAAAACATGTTGCGGTGCATAGCAACATGGTGGCTAAAACATAGCAACAACTTACTTGAAAAGAACGATTTAATGCAATCTCTTTTCCATAAAACTAGCGTTTGCGTCCTAAGTCAACAGAACTTTTTATCTGACGTCATACTTTCGTCACTTCAACGGTTCGGGTATTTCCGATTTTGTCGGAAACTTCCGAGAAGTTTGGAATCTCGATCTCGATGCTTGGGAAATTATTTTTTTTTATTGTTTTGTTTTATTCTTTTTGCTTTCTTTTTCTTGAATGTTAGACAGTACATGTGTAGGTTTATGATAGTAAATAAACTGCGCTCGCCCCAACGGTCACACCGTAAAACATATTAAGCCTGATGACCATGCTTGATACTTCGATATAATGGTATCATTGACATTAGGAAGGTTATATGTAAAAATGAGAAAAATTCATTGGGCAGAATTTTTTCACGGACCCGTGCGATCCTTTCCTTAAGTATTCATAAAGCCATTTCTTGATTTCAGGGCTTCTTGTCCAGGAACCTCTGGTACATCTCGGTTGTCTCAACTCCACTATTGTCAACTCAACCACGACTCCTGTGATGAACTCAACATCGTCCTTGACCTTTGTGACACGCATCATTGAGCAGACAACTTTATCCGTCTGATAATAATTTAAGGATAGGCATCTATATTATTTTCCTATGATAACGAGTCATATTTATTTTTTAAACAATATGCAGCCATATTTATTTTTTTTAACAATATGCAGTCATATTTACTGCATCCCAATATCAGGCAGCACCATATCTATTTTTTACGTTAGATAATTGATGTATATTGAAGAGATCCAAATGTGTATGACACAATGAGAAAATAATAACGGAATTAATGTTACTTGATATAATATTTATTATATTTTAGCATATCATTAATATATGTTGGGGAGGTACAAAATATTTATGAAATCAAGAGACTATTATAAAGAGACAAGATATGTTCACTGAAATGAATTGAGATTCATATTTGTATCCTATAATATATTTAATGTATACAGTCAAATGTTGTTCATATCTTGAACTTGATGGAATCAAGAAAAAACTTAGAGATTCCTAAAAAGTTAAGTTTTTAGTAGATAAATACTTTAAAAGAAGTGCTCTGCACATCCAAATCACTTAGACATATCCTTCATTTAAAAGATTTTGATGTGTGAGGTACCGGCTTAAAAATTTTATACACGTATTAATTAATATACATGTATTTATTAAAATCAATTGTACATAAAGAATTTAAATTGTTTTACGAGATTATTTTACATCCACAGTTGTTTATGGGGTGCTTAGAGTGTTGTGTTCAGCTTTCACATTTCATATATATTTATATAGTTACATGCATATTACATGCATCTATAATACTCCTTATGGGAACTTTTTCTTCAATAAGAAGTTGGTAGGAGAGAATTGCTCACTGTTCAGTATTACTCATGTAATACTGAATGTTCTACTCAGTTGATGTATCACAAGTTTCCACTTATTACATTGTATAAGTAATATTCACCTGATATTTTTAAAGAATCTCTAAGCAAATGTGATATTAATCGCTACAAAATTCACCCCCCCCCCCCCCCCACACACACACACACACAAAAATGAATGTTGTGCTTTTTTTGATTTGCTCCTTTTATCTTTTATACTAACACATTTTTTTCTAGGTGATTGGAATCTAGTCTACTTTCATTTTTTTGTGTGGATTTTTATAACAAATGAAATCCTGGTGTTTTTATTTCCTGCTTTTTTTTAGTTTGTTTTAATTGCCTTGTTTTTTGTTGTTGCTTTCAAAGATTAATGATCTATGTAATTAAGAATAGCTTTTTAGAAACCAAACTCCATTGAATAGATGTTGATATTTTAACAGTCATACATGTGCATGTACTTCATGTACTGTAGGTTTTATGAGTCTTTATTGTATTTTGATATATTATTTAAGACTAAAGATATTAATATTACTTTTTTATTTATTTCCTTTTAAAAGAAATCCAATGATTCCCGCATGATTATCATTTATGAACAAAGAATTGTGCCTTTTATATACATAATACACTGCGAACAAAACTGTAGTACTAAAGCACTTTATTGCTTTATATTTGATTGTCTTCTTTGAAGATGAACATTGTAAAATTTTGTTTAGTTGCACAAATCTGATGCATTGTTTTTGAAATTTTCCTGTCTCATTCACTATTGACTTATGAAAACTACCCAAACTATGATTATAACTGGGATGTAGCAGTGGACGCTTTATAAATCTTGAAGCTGTTTATTGAAGTGTAATAACACAGTTCAAACTAATGTTATACCATTATAACTTCAGATATTTCAATTTCTAGATGTTCTTTAGCTCCTTATTTTCCCTGCATGCTTCTAGTGACCAAGATTCTCTGAAATATAAAACTTTGCAGAGATTTATAAATTACATATGCTTGTTTGCTTTTTTTTTTACTGTGTTTCCTTTCTTGTGTAACTCACTTAGGATCTCATGAGAAAAAAAAAGTTTTCAATAATTTTTTTTCAAATGTTGTAATTTTTATTCATGTAGTTACATTATTCTCAGTTCAATTGATCACCACTGTGGGACGTGGAGACCGGTCCTTCGGATGAGACTGTAGAAACCAAGGTCCGGTGTCGCAGTAGGTGCTGGCACGAAAAGGATCCCTCACTGCTCAGTGGCCCTATGTGCCTAGCATAGAACAAAATTTGTAGCTCTCCACCAGCAAGTGGTGGCGTCTCCATATAAGTGAAAAATTCTTGAGAGGGACATTAAAGAACATAAATCAATCAATCAATTCACTCAAGAGACTTGATGCGATTCAACTTTTATATACATATATATCTAAAATCATGGAGTAAAGAGTTATATTCATTATGTTGTCGGCTCAAATCCAACTTTGGGACGTGGAGACGGGTCCTTCGGATGAGACTGTATAAAGGTAGAACTATATTGCAGTGGGTATTTAACGAAAAGGACCCTTGCTCATAGGCCCAAATTGCATGTACGTCTAAATTTGCATCCATTCCAGCCTTCCCACAGTGTCCTACATTACTTGAAATATCCTCAATTTATAATCAATAGTCATGATTTGGACCTAAGTACGTACTGATGTTGGCAGTAAATCAGATAGTTATGGAAAGGTTGCAGAGAAAAGAATGAACATTGTGAATTAGGTAAATTTCCGAGTTTACTTTGACTCACTAAGCAGGAGGACAACACTTTGTAATAAAGGACTATCTCGCTATCAACTACGGAAAAAAACATTGAACTTATCTTCTGTTCAGAGTGTTTGAATCGATTTTATTTTCATTTTGCCCTTTAGCTCACGTCAACGAAGATTGGGAAGCTTATGTGATTCTGTCGGTGTCGGCGTCCCAGTCTAAGGTTTTTAATTCAGTTTTCTTTTCAAGTACTTCTGTGCGCAACATTGGTCAGACAGGCATGTGTGTTTCATTGTACCAGTCAAGGTTTCAAATTCTGCAATTTCAGCTAAGGAATGATCTAGTTAACATTTTTGAGCAGGCTAACATTTTTGGTGCAAGCCCTTTGTTGACCAAACTTGCATGGATGATATATCTATAGATGCACACTACGAGGCTTGCTTTGGATGCTGGATCTGACCTACATTTTCCAGATGAGTTTTTGATGCAGATGTCATTTCCACGTAACAATGAGTCATATGTTGAGCAAACTTGCATGGATGAAACATCTTAGGATGCACACTAATTGACTTGCATTGAATGCTGGATCCGACATACATTTTCCAGATAATGTATCAGGTTAAATTTATGGATGCATGCCTATCACCAAAAAACTTTAAGACCTATATTAACCAAACTTGCATGGTTAATGGATCAAGGGATGAAAACTATCAAACTTGCCTCTTATATTGGATTTGAACTACATTTTCTTGATATGCGACTATTTTGAAGTCTTTGGATAAGTCTATTCCCAAGTAACTGCAAGCTCTATCAGATCAAGATTGCATAAATTTTGCATTTTGGGGTGTAAACTTCTAGAATGTTAAATTAATTTAGGACTTTGCCTTACTTAAAGAAAACATTCGTTTAGATAAGCTCTGTCATCTCTAATTACCTATGGTTTTTTTTGTTCTTTTACATATACAGTCATTGGAATGTGGGGTTAATTGCATTCGTGTTCTGTTATATGTCTATATAGTTTGAGAATATCGTTAGAGAGAACAAGAAAGACAATGACAGTCAGAACTCCGCCACCTAGAACGTTCCCCATGACACGTGACGTCATTCGAGGATCGTCTGCTGAGATCTTCTGGCGAATTCTACTGGACAGTGTGGATTTAGCGACCAATAACATTGTCTTTATCCTCGCTATCTTCATCTCCTGTACCCAGGTTTGGTTGTCAGTACCGAAGTCTCTCCTGCATGCACAAGTACATCCTACGAATTGAAGAAAAAGAGTTATTAAATTAGTTTTTCTTGACAGCCTGTAAGGTAGCATGTTGTTGAAAAAAGAATGATTACAAAATATTAAACTTGTCTTTATAAAGGATTAATAATAAAGAAAAATGAAATTCCTGACGAACTTGCTTTATATTTTGCTTACAAACAAAATCAAAACCAAAATTTGAATTTCTTAAAATTTTTCTAATGACCTCCAAATTCGAATAAATAGCTCGCGTTGTCATTCTTCGACATGTCCTGCGTGTTCGGTTCGATTTCTTGTGACGTTGCGACTAAATCATTTTCAGTAGTGATGCTAGACTTCGATGTCGTCCTGATGCGTGTTGTTGTAAACGAGTCGGGGGAAGAAGAATAGTTTTGTGTGAACTGAGGTGATACCGTCTTCATTGTTTGGGGTTGAGAGACAGAAATGTGTTGTCTTGAAGAGCTTGACAACAGTGTAATATCCCTTGTGATTTGCAGTTTTTCTGTTTGAAATGTTGATTGAGGCTGAGTGATGAATTCAGCTGTGTACCCTTCACAAAGAAAAAAAAAGGAAAATGTTTTAATTTTTTGTTTGTTTGCGGCAATAATTTAAAAGCAAAGTTTAATCAGCTATATCTTATTAAATTTCATTATTGTAAAAATATTTTAATGTAAGAATTTCTGAAATAAAATTAAACTGTTTCAAATAATCGTTATAAAACCTCAGTTTAATTTTTTAATAGTAACAATAATTTACTGTAGCAAAAAAATGAACACTACATGTACATGTACATGTATGATAAATTATAATTAACTGTTATCACTTTTATTCGTGAGAACTTTATTTTCGAATTATTACGTGAGATAGTGTGCTTGCGAAAATTTCATTCTCGCTTATATTAGTATTTCTTTTGATTATCGACGCAAATCGTGAAAACTTTGTCTTGCTAATAAAGAGTTAATGACTATCTCGCGAAAATAAGGTGCCGCGAAAATTAAATGACCTTCAGTATTGTATTTTTTGTTTCGCAATAATTCTAAATGTATTACCTAATGTTTTGGAGCACAGAGCCTGAAATAAGTTGGAACAGTTCAAGGCCCACCATGTTCCTAGAAGGGAAGAAACACAGTCTGCCTCTGGTTTGAAGATACCAGTAGGTGGTCCAAAGTTCCCCCACTGTAGATACTTCTGCTTCTTATTCCTCATGTTAACGAACTCACCTTCCTGTATCCTGTCGTGAACCCCAATCCATCTGTTTTCCGGGTCAATTCTCAAGCTAAAATGATGTATTGATGGTGATTGAGATATGTCAGGGGGGAAACTGCAAATAATCGTATTTTTTCGTCCTCTACTTCATGGCCACTTTTCAAAATCAAAATCATTCTATTATTTTTAAAATAAAAAATAGGGGTTCCAACGAATAGCGGTAACAGTATTCAAGCTCGAAAGTCCATAAAACATCACAAAATTGGAGCAGGCAAACGGACCTCCAAAACATCAGAGGTGGGATCAGGTGCCACGGATGAGTGAGCATCCCCTACCGACGGTCACACCTGCCATGTGCTCCTTGTCATGATCAGGAAATAACGGAAAAATACGTCGTCAATACAGTGTGTAAGTAATGGCCTAACAATTAGTATGAAATGCACCACTCAGCATTTGACTCAACGGCATTGAAATAGGAAAATGCAAGAAACGAGTAATTACGAGATGGAAATATCATCTAAAATTGAGAATCGTCTTATTTAAACTGGAGATGATAATAACAAGATAATGCATTAAATATATGGAGATAAAGGACAATATTCAAACTAAAAAGTACATTAACAATACAAATTTTGAAGCATTTAAAAGCAAACACGGGCCTCTAAAACATAGAGGCGGGATCAAATGCCATGAGAGAGAGAGAGAGAGAGAGAGAGAGAGAGAGAGCATCCACTACCGACCGGTCACACCCGCCATGTGCTCCTCGTCACGATCGGGTTAACGAAAAATCCTTACACATATCAATGTGTAAATAATAGTCTAAAATTGACATGAAAAACATCATTTAGCATTCCACTTAATTGTAAGTTGACAAAGTCACTGTATCGACCATAGAACTTGCAAAATGATGGTTATAATATTTGTTAAAGTTTTGGCAGATCCAGAAGTTTTCTAACGGGGGCGATTTCAACAATTGATGAATGCTTACTCTTAAATACACTAAATTTTAAACATAGGACAATGTTTAAAATGAGTTGCAGATAAATTTTCTCTTACAATTCTAATGCTAAATGAATAGCAACGTTGGTTTCTTCATCAGGAATCTCAGCTAAATGTCCGCCATTAATAGCGCATTCATGTTCCGCAGAATCAAAGTTTAGGTACTTAGGTGAACACCAGTACTCTCTTCCTCCGTATGTCACATTGAATGTTGAACAGGCTTCACCTTAAAAAATAAAAATCTAGAATTCATAAAGATAACTTAAGGAAGCTCTAAACCTTGCACCCTGGAGAGCTCTACTTGTAGGGTAGTTTTATGCAGCTAGAGTCATCTGCCCTAAGAAGGCGAATAAGAGGATATTTTTTTTCAATAACTGAAACCAATGCAAAAGGTTAAAAAGAGAGAAACATGAACACCGCTTTCTTTTCCATGTTTTACCACACTTAGACTTGTAATCAGAATTTGAATGTGGGGAGGGCAGTCAGAAGAAATATTTCCAACTTATCTAAAAAACCGAAAACTGTGTTCATACGTTTCGAATAATGTAACTTAAAAAGTGCAGTGATTTGGGGATAAGGACAACTGCTTTTTCAATGAACATTTACTAGTATTTTTCAACAGTAAAGTAAAAGGGGACGCGCAAGAACAGCCCTTCTCTATTACTACATAGGTTACCGGTATATCTATAGCTTAAAGCTCGCTTTTCCAAAAAGTTTTAATTGGGCACACTTGTGCAATATTGTTTCAGGCTCTAACCAAAAACCCTTTTTAAAAAATTCATTCCTTGTGATCTTGCTTGAAACAAAACTTGTAACAAAACAATTTTAAACATAAAAAGCACAAGAAGAGAACTGAATATTTAGGACTTTTCAGCTCTGCGAAGATCTGATATTATAATGATTTTTCTTTTTCAAATTTAAGAATACCCAAATGAAAATTCCATCTGTAAAAAATACATTTTAAAGCATATTCCAAGATTATTATAATTATTATTACGGGAAAAGAACATGGCGTCAATGCTTATTAATTTTGAAAAAAATACGTAAGTTTATCACTCTATATACAAAATCTACAACCACTGCTGGAAAAATGAATGCTGTGATCTTGTTAGGGGTTATCTATTTTTCATATCTATACAATAAAATTTGCAGGCAACTTTAGCAGAAAAGAGTTACAAATGGTTAAAATGTGTGCCAATCTGGCTTTTATAAGCTTTTTTGAAGGGATGGGGGTAAATTGAATACATGTACAGTGTCCATTATATTGGTCATATTGGTTCTGATCAAAGCATACTCATATTCCTTTTTTTTGTTGATAAATAAATGCACATTCAATTTCAAAAGGAATTTTATATTCCTCACAAACGAAACTTGGAAAGGGGGGGGGTGTAGGATTCACCTTGTTCACCCATCCAATTTTGACTTGTCCATAACATTTCAAATGAAGTGCCACTAAAAGTTCATACTTGATATTAAA